GTTGTGATGCCCATTCTGGCAGGCGCTCTTTGGCCCATCGAGCTGTGACACAGGGGTATTATTGGCCGACAATAAGAGCTAATGCCGAATGTTATGTGAAAAAATGCGAACAGTGCCAGAAGTTTTCTCCCTTAACCCATCTGTCTGCTGAAGAGTTAAGCTCTATAACCAATCCTTGGCCATTCGCCTAATGGGGACTCGACATCGTCGAACCATTGCCTTGCGCCCCGGGCAACAAGCGATTTTTGATTGTCGCAACAAATTATTTCACAAAATGGGTGGAAGCGAAGGCACTAACGCACATTCGAGACACTGATGTGAAGCGTTTTGTATAGAGAAATATCATAACACGATTCAGCATTCCGAGAGCACTTATTTCAGACAACGGCACCTAGTTTGATTACGGTGTCTATCGAGAACTGTGCAGCAAATATGGTATTCAGCCCTATTTTTCCACCCCGGCTTATCCTCAAAGTAATGGCCAAGCTGAAGCCTCCAACAAATCTATTTTGGACGGCATCAAGAAGAGGCTGGAGAAAGCTAAAGGCAGATGGGTCAACGAATTACCGAGTGTGTTATGGGCTCATCGCACTACTCCGAGGTGGTCCATTGGGGAGACGTCATTTGCTTTGTGCTTCGGAACGCAGGCAATCATCCCTTTGGAGATCGGCCTCCCAACCTTGAAATCAAAAGTCTTTGATATGGGCCAAAACGACATGATGCTGGCCTTGGATTTGATTCTGATTGAAGAACGAAGAGATCGTGCCCTTGCATCCATGGCACGGTACTAGCAGCAGCAGCAGATTGCTAAGTCACATAATCAACGTATTCAGCTGTGCCGCTATACACCAGGAGAGTTGGTCCTAAAAAAGTGCTTCCAGCTGCCAGGAATCCGGCTGATGGAAAATTGGGTCCTAACTGGAACGACCCCTATCAGATCAACTCAATCACGGGAGTAGGGGCATATCGGCTCAAAGACATGTCTGGGAGGAGTCTGCCACGGCCTTGGAATTCAACGCACTTGCGTAAATTCTATCATTAAACTTGACTTGTGGGGCATGATACTTGTTTTGACTGGTTCACCATGTACATATTTCACTTTTGCAATGCAAAGTTTCCTGTTTTGTCATTGCGAAATTCAGTTCAAAAGCCTTCCAGTTTAAGCCTTCGGATTCGGAGCGCCCTTCGTGGATCTTACGATTGGCCAAGACAAAAAAGCCTCCGAATTCAGAGCCCTATCCGTGCAGGTCACGTTTGGGCCGAATAAAGACTCCGGATTCGGAGCGTCCTTCGTGTATCACGATTGGCCAAGATAAGTCTCCGAATTCGGAGCCCCATCAGTGCACGACACTTTTGGTCCGATTAAGCCTCCGGATTCAGAGCGCCTTTCGTGGATCTCACGATTGGCCAAGATAAAAAAGCCTCCGAATTCGGAGCCCCATCCGTGCAGGTCACGTTTGGGCCGATTAAAGACTCCGGATTTAGAGCGCCCTTCGTGTGTCACAATTGGCCAAGATAAGTCTCCGAATTCAGAGCCCCATTAGTGCATGACACTTTTGGGCCGATTAAGCCTTCGGATTCAGAGCACCCTTCGTGGATCTCACGATTGGCCAAGATAAAAAAGCCTCCGAATTCGGAACCCCATCCGTGCACGTCATGTTTGGGCCGAATAAGACTTTGGATTCGAAGCGCCCTTCGTGGATATCATGATTGGCCAAGATAGAAAAGCCTCCGAATTCGGAGTCCCATCCGTACATATCACGTTTGGGCCAAATAAGACTCCGGATTCGGAGCGCCCTTTGTGGATATCATGATTGGCCAAGGTGGAAAAAGCCTCCGAATTCGGAGCCCCATTAGTGCATGACACTTTTGGGCCGATTAAGCCTCCGGATTCGAAACGCGTTTCGTGGATCTCACGATTGGCCAAGATAAAAAAAAGCCTCCGAATTCGAAGCCCTATCCGTGCAGGTCACGTTTGGACCGAATAAGACTTCGGATTCGGAGCGCTCTTCGTGGATATCACGATTGGCCAAGATAGAAAAGCCTCTGAATTCGGAGCCTTATCCGTGCACGTCACGTTTGGGCCGAATAAGACTTCGGATTCGAAGCACCCTTCGTGGATATCACGATTGGCCAAGATGAAAAAAGCCTTCGAATTCGGAGCCCCATTCGTGCACGTCACGTTTGGACTGAATAAGACTCCGAATTTAGAGCACCCTCCATGGATATCACTATTGGCCAAGATAAAAAAGCCTTCGAATTCAGAGCCCCATTAGTGCATGACACTTTTGGGCCGATTAAGCCCCCGAGTTTGGAGTGCCCTTCGTGGATCTCACGATTGGCCCAAATGCAAAAAAGCCTCCGAATTCGAAGCCCCATCAATGTACGTCACGTTTGGGCCAGATAAGACTTCAGATTCAGAGCGCCCTTTGTGGATATCATAATTGGCCAAGATAAAAAAAGCCTCCGAATTTGGAGCCCCATCCGTGCACGTCACGTTTGGGCCGAATAAGACTTCGGATTCGGAGCGCCCTTCGTGGATATCACGATTGGCCAAGATTAAAAAAGCCACCGAATTTGAAGCCCCATCTGTGCACGTCATGTTTGGGCCGAATAAGTCTCCGAATTCGGAGCGCCCTTCGTGGATATCACGATTGGCCAAGATAAAAAAAGCCTCTGAATTCGGAGCCCCAGCCATGAACGTCACGTTTGGGCCGAATAAGACTCCGGATTTGGAGCGCCCTTCGTGGATATCACGATTCGCCAAGATAAAAAAGCCTCCGAATTCGTAGCCCCATCCGTGCACGTCATGTTTGGGTCGAATAAGACTCTGGATTCGGAGCGCCCTTCGTGGATCTCATGATACACAACGAAAATTGAAACATGCAAGCATTCAAGTTGAAATGTTTCATTAAATTGATCGACTGGCACAAAGTGTATAAACATAAGTTGAAACATCCAAACATTCGAAATAGAGTGTTTTATTAGATTAACCAATAAATACATAATTTACACTCAATCTACGTTTGAGCATTACAATGACTACTTCTATTCGGCATCTCCCTCGTCATCACTCTTCTTGACTTCGAAGGCCGAAAAGGGAAAATGATGACCTTGATATAGCAACGACGCCGAATCAACGCCTACTGCCCAGAGAGCGTCCGCAGCTTGAACTGCCTTGATCCAGCCGTGTTTAAATCCGTGATTTTCACATCGGCATACCTCCTCAGCAAGTTTTTCCTTAGTCTTGTCTATCCCGACCTTCCGGCCGTCATGAAAGCCTTTTTCATAGGCCCTAGACTTAGTAGTCTTAATTGCAAACATGCTAGCCGTATCCCGATCAGCAATCGCATGACTTATTAGCCGCTGAGTCACCCTTTCCTCCACGACCGGGTTAGGATGGCCAGCCGATTGTGACTTGGCAGTCTTGACCTTTCTTAGTTCGCGCTCAGGTTTCTCCGCATGAGCTTCTAAGCTTCGAATGCGTTCGTCTCTCTGCTCTATATCCCGTTGTGCGGCACGAAGACGCATGTCGATTTTATAGGCGGTGTACAGCCCCTTCACCGCCCCTTGAACGCCTTCCTGAAACACTTCGAAATCCTGTCGACCTACCATCGACTGCTGGACTTCAAGTGGAAAAATCTGTCGAGCGAACTCAACTGCCACATTTGGGTCATGAACAATTGAATCCGCTTCTGTCATTGGTCTATTCCCCACAAAGACCGCAAAACTCAACAAGCGCGGTGTCGCATCGGGTTCTCTTCCCGAGCGGGGTTGAGGGGATCTACTTCGTTACTGCTTTTCCCTCCTGAGCGACCTACTTCGGCGACGAGGGGATTAACGTCTCTCCCGCTCCCTCGAAGTCCTACCTCTTGTGCATGTAGGTTCGCCACTTCGATTCATTTCTCCTTCTAGCTCAGCTAATGTCCTCCCCTCTCCTCTGCTGTTGAAGAACAATCTATTTGACATTCACACTTGTCTAACCTTCCTCAATGGACTGGACTGAGATGTTGAGTCTGAACACATTAATAGGACCTACGTGCACGAAGCGCTCGTCCCATTTATTCCTTACAGGGGCAGCACCCTCGAGGCGATATCATTAATGCTAAACTTCAAAAGCGTCACGTCATGAACTAACTGTTTTCGACGTCCCAGTTCAAGTGCTGGCTGGGGCAAGGGCAAATTAATCAATACATTCGGCATAACTATCAGAGCTCAGCCGAATTTCTATTGTACCCCAGCAAGTACTGAACTGTCATTTGTCTTGGTTCATTAACTCGCTGAGGCAAGGACAGATTAATCAATCTATTTGGCATAACTATCAAAGCTCGGCCAAATTTCCATTGTGCCCCAACAAGTTACTGAATTGCCGTTTGTCTTGGTTTATTAACTCGCTGGGGCAAGGGAAGATTAATCAATCTATTCAGCATAACTATCAGAGCTCAGCCGAATTTCCATTGTGCCCCAGCAAGTTACTGAACTTTCATTTTCAGTCTATCTTGGTTCATTAACTCGCTGAGGCAAGGGCAGATTAATCAATCTATTCGACATAACTATCAGAGCTCAGCCGAATTTCCATTGTGCCCCAGCAAGTTACTGAATTGCCGTTTTCAGTCTGTCTTGTTTCATTAGTCCGACTGGTTCATTAACCTGCTGCGGCAAGGGCATATTCACTAATATATTCATTCAGCTAAGCTACAACACTTTACAGTTATTTTTAATTCAGCAGCTTGTTTCATTCATTTCATGATTTTACATCTTACTTGGCGGCTAACAAGCACATTCATTGAGCACAAAAGGCGAAAATAATTTACATTCATAAGCTGCGCGCAAATAGCAAAAATAATTTTCATTCGTAAATTGAGCACAAATAGAATTCATTTTAAAAATGAAAACTACCCTATATCAGCTTCTTACAAAAATGAACAATCAAAAACAAAAACCTAATACATACAGCAAAATCTACATACACTTAATACCAAAGCAAAATGGAAAATAATTCAACTGTCTTCGGTATTTTCAGGGTCAGACTCCAGCGGCTTAATGTCTACCTGCTCGTACGGAATCGACTGTTCCGATGTCACGTTAGCGGCAGCCAAAGCCTTGAGCCAGCCGTGTTTGAACCCCCTATTTTCAAATTTCAGCACTTCTTCGACATAGTCCACCAAGGCCACATTCTTACTAGCTTGGAACGACTCGGAAAGCCAAGACTCGGCGTTCGCCTTCGCCCGCCTAGACTCTTCCAGGTCGGCCTCCAACTTTGCAATCATTTCGTTGGCCAGTCTGAGCGTTTCTTCATTCGCTTTTGTCTTTTCCTCAGTGGCCATTTTCAATGTGACAGCAATCCTGGCCTCATTTGCTCCAGCATCGGCCCTAGCTCTCTCTTCCGCCACTTTCGCTGCCTCAGACTCGGCTCGGAAAGAGGCCTCTGCTGCTCTCCCTTTCTTCTTTTCTAGTTTGGTTGTGAGGAAGTCGATCTGTTTGATTGCGTCGTGTTGGCGACGTCCAATCTCAACTATTCTCCCCGCTACTTGCAAAAGAAAGGAGCAGTGAGCTAATATAGAAACTCTTGTTCAGCCTTGCAGAGCTGTAAAGGACTACGTACCAATATCACCGATTAAGCAGCTAACGCGATAGCCAGCAGATCGGCCTCTGTCCTAAAAGTTGCTCTGTCAGCCGACAGAGAAATGGAGGAAGCCAGGCTCAAGAACACAGTCGGGTCCCTTATAGCCGATGAATCAAAGCTAACCGGCATGTTTTTTATTTTTGGTTGCACTATGAATGGCACAACCAAGTCCGATTCTTCTAAGCGTGGCCGTTTGTCCACTGGATCTTCCGAATGAACGGTATCGTGATCGGTTGGGCGCTTTTCACCCCTGAACTCCGTCACTTGACCCTTCTGTTGATCGACAACAGTTTCTGCTTCGGCCATTTCATTCTGAGCCACCTCTTCAACAGGAACGGGTGGAGTTTCTTCCCTGGCGTTAGGTGGAAGGGGCGGAGGTTGGTTTCGCTCGACTTCAGCCCTTCTTCGAGCGACCATCCTCTCAGCGTTCCTCCATTTGGCCATTTGGGTGAGCGACTCGCCGGCCATGTTGTCAAGGTAAGAACCGGGCAAGTCCCCTAAGTTTGTAAAAATGTCTTCGAAAAGTCCCCTTGACCTGAGGCGGGCAGAGGGTCAAACGAATTCAACCCGGCTTCCTCAAAAGTCGAATAAAGTGCTTCTTCTATCTCAGCTTTTGACTAGTTCAGGTTCTCAGCGATCGGATCGGCTGCTTTGTTCTTCCTCTTGTTTCGATTTAGAGGCTTCTAAACCAACCTCCTTTATGTTTTTAAAGCTGGGGAAGATAAGGGCGGTAAGATGATCTTCACCACTCGAAATTGGAATGTGTTCTGCTGTCGAAAATGTAGAGTAAGATGGCGCGTATCGCAAAAGAATATGGGCTGCCCTCCATTGTTTCTACAAGTTTGGATGGCCAACGAACTGTAAAGTGACTTTAATGTCCGCAAGTACAGCGTCGTTGGATGAAACCAACACTTTTTTCAAATTGCTACCTATTTTTAAATACGGCCACCGAGTTCGCCTTTTTTCCTTGGCACGAGATCTAGGCGATCTTCACCATCGTCGAATTCCCAGTTGCCTCGGACAATGACCATCATATCGTTAACACGCTTACCAGAGCTGGCAAGCATAGTCACTAGGTGATGTTCGGTATATTTGGCTCTGAGAAAATAGCATCCCAACCAGCTAGTAGACTTGGCCAAAGCATAACAATGCCGAATTGCAGGTATGCCTAAGTTAATCCTAAGACGACGATTCAACTCTGTAATCCCCAATATGATGCGGAAAAAATTCACGTTAGGCTGGGAAGGAATTAGACCCTAGTGTCGAAGGACGGCTCTTAAAAATGGGCGAAGGGGAAAACGGACTTCGCCCTCAGCAATCGATAGGAGAGAAAAGATGATTGTACTTTCATCGGTCCTCTCCATATTAGTGGTGTTGTCTGCCACAAGTGACAGATGGACGTCATCGGGGATGGAATAATGGCGTCGAAAGCCGAAAATTCGATCCGCAGAAAGGAGCTCTTTCAAATTTTTTGTCATCATGGCTAGCCTAAGGGTTATGCAAAACTGAAAGTAAACAAGGAAATGACATTGGGAGTAAAGGAGGAAAAAACTTACAGGAAACATAAGGTATAATGAGAGATATAAGGAAATTGCAGAGGTCACGAAATGAAAAAGTTGAACTAGAAGGCGAGCCAAAAACTTTTAATATTCAGAGTATACATTCGAAGAGACAGAGTTTTAAATCACATTAAATGGAGGACGCGTACGAAGAGGCGGGAATTTGTAATGATGACCAAAAAATGTGTGCGTTCTGACACACGTTGGAATGAGGTTAACCGCCGAATTTTTCACTTTTCAAGTTCGAAACCAAACACGCTGACTAACTAGTATTAGTGGGGTGTTTGGGGGACAATTGTGAGAGCCGGATAAAAGTGGACGCAGATAAGCCGAATAGACATTTAGATAATCGGTACACGTTATACTTGTCCCCGTCCTGTACGTTCTGGATGCCGAATATATTAGTCGGCCAGTTGAACGAGGGGCTGATTGGAAGTTGGAATACGACGAAAGAAGGGCTGAGTGAGCAATCACACGACGAATTAGTAGTGGGCCCTATCCTGAGGACTGGGAGCGTATATAAATAGAAGAGCAACAACCAACGAGAGGTATGTGAGAACTAGTACGCTTAACTTAAGATACAAGCAATCGAGAGAGTATATACTGACTTATTCATCGGAGTGCTAATTCTGAAACCCCCGACTTGAGTGTTTATTCTTTTTTAGGATACTAGCTGAGGATCTCGAGTGCCCCATTGGATCCAAAGAGTAGTTCTAGAACCACTCCCCCACAATCTACTATTAAGGGTTTTAGATATTTCGAGTGCTAGTAAATCATTCTTAACTCATCATGAGTGATTCCTCATCTTCCATTTAATTTTCATAGGGTTTTTTGATTTTCTAAAATTAATAGATTTAATATTGTTACTCATAATAACATATTCACAAAATGATATTTTGTAACAAATTTCTTAACGCATCAGGCCTTCTTTCAAAAAATAATGGGAAACTTATTTATAAATCCTTCTTTCTCTACTTATATTTTACTTAAAACAAATTATTTTCTTTTATTCTAACAAGTCTTATGGATGAAATAGTTACCAAAATGCACATAATAATATTCACATTGACCGTGTATGTTCCGTGATGTGAATATTCACATTGCCAATGTGAATATTCACATCATAAAATATGAACATTCACACCGTTAATGTGAATATTCACATCATAAAATATGAGCATTTACATATCAATGTGAATATTCAAATCGTAAAATATGAACGTTTACATCACCAAGTTGCTAACCGTTCAAAAAATATTTGTAAGGGTAAAATTATCTATAAAATATCTTAAATATGAAAATTAGGATTTGGTGGATTAAATCCAAATAATAGGACTTACTGAAATAGAATGATATATTATGGACTCATTAGAATGCAAGCACTTAGAAAAGAAGTTCTTAATAAATCTCTCAAAAATAATAAACTATATAAGCTTTAACTATATTATTAAAAACAGAAAATTATTTGAAAACATAATTTTTATAAATAAAACTAATAAATAATATAACATGATATTTTTGCAATTATAAACTACTAGGTGTTTTTTTGCTTGAAACAAAGGGCTAAAAAATGACATATCATTTTGTATGAATTTTTTCAATAAAAATTATATCTATAACATTATTTTTTTGTGAAAACCTTTCAAAATTTTGTACATCGTTATTGAAGAAAGGGATGGACAAATGTGTGTTGGGAGACTTGAAGAAGGAAGTTTCTTACAAGATGTTCATTGGTGCAAACCCTCTCCTCTCAATTAATATAATAATTAATTCAATGGGGTTGGATTCTCTCAAGTTGGCCATTCAACTTGAGAGAGTAGTTGGGCTTAATGAGCTCGTTTTGGGGTCAACATCATTGTTGAGTATAATATTTATGTAAAAAATCAAAATCATCGGATATCGGTACTTATATATTTGAATCACATTTGTTTTAAAAAAATGAACGACAAATATAATTTTAAGAATAACCATTTCTTTTTATTATATAAATGTTATTCAAACATATAGCTTTTGATGTGCATACTTATTTTATATTCAACAAATCTTAAAAAGTGATTGATTTGAATATATTATCAAGATCAATCCCAAAACGGACGCACAAAACCCAAATTATTCTATTAAGTTAGATGACTAACTTTGGAAAATTCAAATCATAAATTAATACTTGAAAAGCAACCGAAAGAGAAATTGAAAGCTCTTGTCACTACATTAATCTTATAATTTTCAACTAACACTTGATTCTTTGAAATTTCATCTCATATTTAGTGGATGATTTGGTTCTCGAATATTGTTTGTATTGATATAGCTTTCATTTCACAAATTAGTGGAAATATATTGGAATTTAATTAGAAGCTTCACAAATTAGAATTTTTTTGTCATAAATCTTTGAGTAACAGAAAACAGAGAGGTCTTTCTTCAATGTTACTAGCTTGATTTTATTAATAAGACTTAGGAGTCTTCCATGATATTATCTATAAGTTTTAAGTTAATCTCTAATAATCTTGATTAGATGACCATAAAATTATGTTTTCTAGAAGTTTGATTTTTCAATAAAATTAAAAGGGCAACAATCTGGAAAAACATGAAAGTTATTGGGAGAAGTAGAAAGCTATCCCATCCACAAAGGAACAAAGCGAAAGGTCTGTCTTTTGATATTTTAATGTGCAGCACATTGGATTTGAAATTAATAATAAAAGAATTTAAAAAATGTAAGACTTTGTAGAAAGTCTTTTCATAAATTTGCAATATGGTGGTGGGACAAAGTGAAAAGTGTGTCTTTTGATGTTTTAATGTGCAGCATATTGGATTTGAAATTAATAATAAAAGAATTTAAAAAATGTAAGACTTTGTAGAAAGTCTTTCATAAATTTGCAATATGGTGGTGGGAATGGGTCTCTCGACCCGACATGTGGGTTAGTCGATGGAAACTGTTTTGTCTCTATTTTCTACTTATTCACACAGACTTTAGAAAGTCTTTTCATAAATTTGCAATATGGTGGTGGGAATGGGTCTCTTAACCTGACGTGTGGGTTGGCTGATGGAAACTGTTTTGTCTCCATTTTCTACTTATTCACACAGACTTTAGAAAGCAAAAAAAAAAAAAAAAAAAACAAAGAGTGTTCATACTTTGTGAGACCTATTTCAAAATCAATAAGAAAAGAAAGAAAGAGAATAACTGCCGGACTTTTGCTTAAATGATCATTTCCTATTTGCTAAGATTAATTTCATTTTTAAAAACAGATAAAGAGTGTTCATTTTTTTTTTCAATTTTGTTGCAAAAAACATAGTAATGACATTTTTTGCAACAAAAAAATTAGTCCTGAAAATATATATTTTCCTTTTCTAACTTTTTTCTCTAAAACATTAATTTGTTATAATTATGGATGAATTGTTCAAATTTTAAAATCACCTTTTTAACCATCAAATTAGGTCTTAACATTTACTGATTTATATAATCATCTTTAATTGGACTACAAGAACTGAAATAAAAATCATCCTTTGGATTGACTTTGTTCAAATCCCAAAAATCAATACAAACTTTGATTTTGCCATCTTTCTTCGGAACTGGCACAATATTGGCTAATCAAGTCGGATATTCTGATACCAACAAGAATCCAACATTGATTTGTTTGGTAACCTTCTTTTTTATTTTCAGTGGCCAATCTGGATGAACTCTGCGAAACTTCTATTTGACAGGTTGAGCCTTAGGGTTAAGAGGGATCCTATATTGTACAATCTCAGGATCGATTTCAGGCATATCTTCGTAGGATCATGCAAAAACGTATTTGAATTCTTTTAATAAAGCAACTAATTGCTTGTGTTCCTCTAAAGATAACGTGGAACCAATCTGGACGAAGCGAAGATCTTTCTCAGTTTCCATATTTT